TTTTTCTTCTGATACCAATCAACAGGTGTCCTTGTAGCAACTTTTGAACCATAAAAATCGTCAATATTAAATTCATTATAAAAATAAAACTTAAGAATAGCGATAGTTCTTAAATAAAGATGTATCCTCTCCTTGGCCAAGAAAATTATTGGTTTGGATTGTATCGTATTGATTGTGAGGCTATCAACCTCGCATGTGTGAAATCTTATTTCAAGAAGATAATATATAAAAAGGGATATTTGTAGCATTAGTCTCCAACCTATAGTTCTAGTAGCAAGTTGGTCCTCTACCTCTTTTCCTTAATCGAGATGTCATGGCTGTGTGCAATCGCAAGTGTTCGATGTAGAATACATCATGATGATACCAATTTTGATGTTCCTAAACCCAATCACTAAACCTGAGGATGTCAGGGCCCATCTATGACAGATTCTCACGATCTCCTCAGGTTTATGGTCCTTAAGCTCGGGTACTTTCGACCCAGCAGCTCTTTCGCTACTGAAGTCTCGAACCATGCGATCTCTAACTTATTAGGAGCCTACTTCGTGTTAGGACACCCTATGAAGCAAAGTCCTTCTAAGAATGTGTTACCTCGTTCTAGGAGGACTCTAACACTAGAATCACATCTCTATCCAAACACGTGGGTAATACAAAATCAAATTAATCAATTGAGTTGCAACTTCCAATCATATTAGGACTCCTAGGGGATTTCAGCATTGCAATCCTACTAGAGATGCACTACATACCTCTATAAATACATCATTCCAATCATTATCAAGGTACGTTTTGTCACATATATTTACAGCATATATCTTTTCTCTACATTCTCTTTCTGACTTAAGTATCGGATGGGCGATGAGGACACAACTCGACACCTTTATTTCAGGTACCAAAAGATCTCATTCGTGCTCATTTCCAGTCTTCAAGCTCGGAATCATCAGGTACGATTTTTGGTTGCATCACATCATAAAGTGATAATGAGTCGAGTATTGTTCCTACAAGAATGCGTAGTCAAATATTGAATTTATTATTTCTAGCTTAATTCCACTTGAAATCTTTGAAATTTGATTGGTTGTTTTAACTAAATACTATTGAAAGCAATTATTGATTGGTTGAGAATCCCATGTTCTAGGGACGTCCTCTTGTTTGACTCCGGTTTCCAAGGATCCCTCAAGGTTTTAGTTCCTCAGCATCTACGTACTTGTCGTCCTTTTACATAAGCTTATGGACTTAGTGCTTGTTTGAGAGAGATTTTTTGGAGAAGAATTGATTTTGAATAGTGATATCATGGGAAATGTATGGTTAAAAAAGAAGAAAAAATTATTGATGTGATGGAAGATATTATTTTATTGAAGAATGTGTGGTTGAAAATGAGAATTGATTTACTGTAGAATTTGGTTAATCACTCCCAAACAGGGCCTTAGTTGGTAGGAATTCTGGGTAGCGACATTATGAAATTCTGGTAACATGAGTACATTTGCAAGTCCTTAATTCCCAATGTTGTCCGATTGACTTAACTCGACTATTGTTAAGAATAGTGCTCTGAATTCTGAAAGCACGTTTTTCTATATATTCACACACTCCAACAAATTAATAGATGAAATTTCAAAAAATACATCATGTATATAGGTTAGGTTGTATTTACAATTTACATACCGTGTTTTGAAAATTATATTATATATATATTTTTTTC